ATTGTTGCTTTTGCTTTTGCTTTTGCTTTTCCTATTATTATTCATACGTACACACACTCACATACACACACACTCACATACACACACACTCACATACACACACACTCGTACACACTTATTTTACAACAGCATATTAACGTCTTCGTATACTAGTATTTGAACCCCCCACACGAGATTGTCTGCAAACCCATTCCCTCGCAGATTAAAGGTAATTGAGTTCAACATTTACCTCAATTCATGAAATGAATTAGGAAACGAAAAACAGGAAATTTGGCAGCATTTTGTTCATCGAACAATTTCTCGATATTACTGCCCTTTTGTTCACCCAAAACAACTATAACGACCGCCCAAAACTATTTCAGGTACATAAAGACCCTTGTTTCAGAAGAATTCTCCCGTATATTTCACAAAGAAATCTCAGATTTAATGGACATAGTTCGGTGAGGAATGGACAAATTCAGTACATGTATAAAATTCCCCTCGGCTCAAATTCCTTTATACTAAATCAACACAAATCTTCCATAATAAATGCAAGAGGTTGACAGGGAATATGAATTTCTCCTTTTGCCCCGGGAGGTAGACATCCAATCTGGGTTTGACTCTAATCCGCGGCACAATGGATTCTGACACGAAATGTTCGCCATGGCGGGAGGGGGGAGGGAGGGAAGGGCTCCGGGTGGGGGGAGAGAATTATCCCGGCTAGGTCACAGGTGAATGGTGAGTTAATGCGAGGTATGAAACACAGACGTCAAGTAAATCTACCTAGAGGGCATACATACTACATTACTATTGGCGTAATTTGGAATTTCTGACTTGTGTAATATATTACATTTTGAAAGGAAAGATAAGATAGGAAGCTGCGATTTAATGCTGTGTGTATTATGCATATTATTATATTAAAATGTAAATTTGACAGTTTAATTCTACCGGCGTAGATAAGTTACAGAATGACGTAACAAATGTTTCTTTCTTTTTTTGGGGGGGGGGGTATTTTATGTTTTGTTTTTTGTTTTTAAATTGAGTCTGGCGCGCCTCAGCTGAAAAGGATTAAACGAAAAAAAAAAAAGAAAAGAATGTCCATTTGCAAATATTTGTGAGGCAGCGTGATGGAATCAGGCTCTCGTCAATTTTTAGACATGTAGAGTTATTGGTATCATCTTAGAGCTTGTTCACTTGTCTTTATTTGGATGAAAAAAATATCCATTTATGTTGAATACAAGGCGAGATATTTGCGAATGAAGGGGGTGGGGTTCACCTGTTTTCGGAGGTAAAATTAGTGAGAAAACGGCCTCCAAAGATTAGTTATTTCCTTAGCTTAAGAGTCCGTGGTAACTG